CAGGAGATATGACAAATAGAAAAGAGAGCTGCAGCGCGCGCGGGCGCCGCCCCGGCCCAGCGGCGCGGCCGAGACAGTGTGTCAGCCCGGCCGTAGGGAGTTGCTACCGGCTGCCTTGTCGCACGCGTTGAGAAACCGCCGAGGCGATTGTGGAGTGAGAGGCAGACAAACAGAGACGATGGTAGCTTCAAACGCAACCCCGGCGGTGGGCCATTGATTTGCTTGGCTCGGCTCCGCTCGGGCCGCTCGGGCCCGGCCGCTCGACTCGGCTCGGCAGCGACGGCCAGCTTGGAGCTCGGGGGGGAGAGGAGAAGTTTAGTTTGCGGAAAGTCTTGCTGTCGCTCGGACGTGTGCGTCCGTGCTCGACATTCGATGAAGTGTTTTTGTCTCGTTTCTTGAAAGGTGGTCGTTCAAATCTTTTCTGTGATACCGTTTGGTGCTGAAACAAACTCTTCTCCAGTGACAGTGAAAGTCGTCGGCCGCAAGTGCCTTGTGACGTCTGTGACAGTTCTTTGTGATCTCTTGTGACAAGACGATTAGATTCTCGTCCTGCATTGTGTTGTGTCTGTGCCTGTGTCTGCGTGTGCGTTGTAACATTCCGAGCTACTCGAGCAAGGACTCTGAGCGAGGGCATACGACGCGCTGCTGCTCTCGCGAAAAGTGTTCTGGCCGAAGGATGGCCAACCATAACCTCTCCTGCAGGTCCTAACTTTAAAATCACAAACGTAAAGAGAGGGGCCCGGCCCGATCCGTACCCGGCCCGAAGATGTACAGCATGAACTACATCGGCAAGTTCATCAGCAACTTCCGTGACTTCTACAATGAGATTAACACGGCCACCCTGACGGGGGCCATCGACGTGATCGTGGTGGAGCAGCCTGACGGCTCCTACACCTGCTCGCCGTTCCATGTGCGCTTCGGCAAGCTCGGGGTGCTTCGCAGCAGAGAGAAAGTGGTGAGTGTGAGAGGGCGACATGGTGATGACAAGTACATGACTGATGCCTGTCTGCATCAAAGATGCATCTACATCAAAGAGGCATTTAGGCCTGCATCAAAGATGCATCAAAGATGCAAACCACCTAGGATAGGATGCAGAGCAATGCAGAGTCCTACTGAGTACTGGAACTGGGCGTGAAGACGCTGCTTATTTTACAATTTCTATCTCAACTTAATGAAATTTGAACGAAACTGCCAGTGATGTTCCAATTGTGTACGGATATGCGGAACCACAGGTACAATAACTTAATCAATGCTTTCTTCTGTTCATCTTTCATTGGTCAGTTTCAAAACTTCTGCAACTGTCACATATTATACGATTTGCTTTAAAAATTACCAAGTTGTGATGGCCATTGCTGGTTCTTAAACTAGTACAGAATTTTTTCAAATGCCCTTCCTGTCTTGCTTGCAAAGCACAATGTATTGGGGTATGTGGATAACTCGAATTGAGAAACCAAGAATGATAGTCCTACAAATTAAACGTTACTACTTGTTATCGCCTTTGTAAAATAAGAAACTTTCATTTCAACTACTGGACATGGGTCCGGTTTCTAGATGGTAGTGTGCAATTGCTCCAGAAATTGTCATTCGACTCGGTTGTTGTGGTCAAACTCTATTGATCCCATTGGTGGCCAGTTGACCTGTAAGAATTTATCCAAGAAGTGGTGCAGGTTTTTGTGCTCTTACAAGTTGTGGATGACGGACCACACAACCCAAGAGACTATTCATTGATTGTGTGCCTAATTACTGTACAGTAAAGACGGGTTGTGTCTGGGAAACAATCGCCAGGGGCCGGCTCAGCCAGCAGGGTGCAGAGTCCCCCCGAGTATGGAAATACCTGTCCGCGTCACAATCTGTTCTGGGAAGCGACTCACTCCACTGGCAGTGAGAGGCCCCGCCTTTGTCTTTGACTTTTGGCCGGCGCGGACACGGGGGCACAGCAGCGGAGCTGGCAGCTGATACCGGCGGGGCGGAGCGGGGCGGGGGCGGGACGAGGAGGGCCGCGAGCACGCGGCGTTCAGGATGTCTCACGCGTACTCGGGTCCAAAGTGCGCGCCGGCCGGTTGCCATCCTGGTACTCAGCGGACCATGCCACTCGATGACCGCGTGCTGCTGCCGGCCCGGCCGGAGCTCGGAGATGGTCGCTAACCACCTCGCGACCCCGAGGTGTGTACCCCCAGGCCAGCTTTTAGTGACGGCCCCCCGTGCAGCTCCGCCACCTGCCTGCTGGCTTCCTCGTCCTCCGTCTGGACTCCGCAGCTCAGCTGGTGTTGTTGCCGTGTGCCGCAGCCTGCCGCAGCCCGCCCTGTTGCCAGCATGTCTGCTGATGCCTCCCCCCCCCCCCTTTCCGAATACAGTCTGGTCCTTCTTTGTCAGGTGGAGAGCTGGAGGGCACCCAACGAGCACGGCCAGGTAGTACACCGTCGAGAACGCTGATGAATTTTTGCCTCGACGGCTCCCGTCTCTATATTTAGAAACCGTTTTT